CATCAGAAACAAAGACAGGACTGTTCCACCCAGAAGATAACCCAGGCCTCCCTCTGCTCACCTTCAAGATATTTACACTCAGACTCTTCATTTAGTGTCACTTTTACAAGTTTTCTCCTCATCTGTGCAAATTCCTGTCAAAACATTTTAGCTTTCCTTTCTCTCTCCTTCCCTGCAAGTGTAACCTTTAAAGTTTTTATTCACAATGTAATTGTGTTATCTTATGCAAATTTCCAGCTGAATGTACCACAGCAGATAGGAAAGATAAAGATGCAAAGCCACACATCAATGCTACTGAAATGGGAATTGATATGCATGGCGGGGGAGGTGGGGAGTGGGGTCCAACTCTGCCCAAATTCACCAAGGCCTGAAGAGCATTTGGGGTGTCCTGCTCTGTCCCTCTTTTATTCCTACAAACATGCAATACTTCAGGTCCTAGTGTGTCCTTCTTTCACAGGAGTCATGCTAATCTCTGGTCATGTATCATCTTACTCTAGGGCGTATTCACAGTGTGAGAAAAGAGAGTTCTTCAAAAGTACTTTCTTTAGTATGAAAATCGGAATTAAAATGCATTTTTTAAAGGTTTAACTTTGTGTATGAGGGATTTGTCTGCATATATGTAGGTATACCACGTGCTTGCCTGGTGCCAGGGGAAGCTGGAAGTGGATGTGGGATCCTCTGGAACTACAGTTAAGGTTGTAAGCCTCCATACTGTGTCAAGGAGCACACCCCTCCTCCGCAAAGCAGCAAATGCTTCTAACTGATGAGCCTTCTCTCTAGCCCCTCATTTTGTTATTTTTAATTGACAAGATCTTATTCATCAATTAAAGACATCAGGGATTGACAATTTCAGATTTAAAAAAAAAAAGACAAAATTTCAACAAAAATATGATGTTGCATTTCTTCTAACCCATTGCTATTTAGTAATTGAGGTTGGTCCTGTAAGAAAAACAACCCGAATCTTTCAAACCAGAATGTTGAAAGAACTGGTTCTGCATCCCCAAATTGGAAATAATGTTCTGCCATCCCAAGTCTGCTAGAAATCTAAGTGGCTCACAAAAGTCAGACTGCCCTCTCTCGGTGTCCCAAAGCATCCTGTTCCGGGCTGTTAATTCTAATTAATAATTAATAATTCTAATTAATAATTCTTCTATTAATGTTTCCTAACTTGCCATGAGATTTTTCAGTGTCTCTATAGCAAAGACATACAGATGAGACAGTAGAAGAAACCAGGGAAAGCAGCATGGTGCTCTTGAGGTTTGATTACACCTAGGTTGAGCCCCGGCTTGGTCCCTTGCACTTGAGCACCCTTGGCAATGACTTAACTGAAGATTTCCACAATAAGTTCAGTTTGAGAAAGAGAGAAGACAGCATATACCTGGAGATAACTGAATCACAGGCTGTTTTTTTATTTTCTTTTTAAGCTTTATAATTCTCCAAATTGTGACCCTTAGTACCTTCATTTTCCAAATGGCCACATTAATAGCTAAGGAAACTAACCAAGAATAGACAGCTTCTAAATAAATAACACTTTCTAAATTCAAACCCCCATTTTACCTTGCTAAAAATCAATGTCAATCTTCATAGTCCTATTTGTGAAGATTTCTTAAGTTCAGGTGGTACTCATTGTTTACAGAGAAATTTGGGGTTGTTATTTTATTTTTAGTTCTCTTCTCTTTGTAATTGTCAGTAATTTTAGTTTTCCCAAACCAATTTAGACTTCTTTCTGTCGATTTTCAATGATATATAAACTGAGGAAATATAGTGTTGCGATAGCAACATGTTGCCATGGACCCTAATTCTAGGGTCTAGGCTGTCCCTCTTCATATTCTCAGCCCTTTCTCTATAGTCTTTCAACAAAATGCTTTAATAACAGACTCACATTTACAGCTCCTCCGAGGTCCCCCCTTCCACTTTGGGTTCTCAGGAAACAGGCACATGTTTACTTTCATAAACAGTTTAGTGTCTAATGTCACAGAAGGCGGTGACACACTTAAAGCGGGTATTTTGTGATTGAAAGATTGGACCCTCTCTGCCGGAAGGCCACTCACAACAGGACTTTCTCAACCACCCCTTGCTGTGACAAGCCTTAAAGGAATCTGGCCTGCGGAGTGTCTGGGTTCTGTGTGAGGTTGGTGTCAAAGCAAGTCCAAGCAAGTTCTCCGAAGTGCAGCCTTCACAACATCGCTCAACTCAAAAACATTTCTTCAAGGCACCACCCATCTTTTCCAGTGGGAATCCAGGGAAACGATCCTCTTGGAATTAGTGTGTAAGTGGGAGAGGGTGTTAGATTTGTGCCATCAGAAGATTCATGGGAGAAGGGCAAGGCCAAGATAGGAAAATGAATACCATTACCACCAAAATATTCTCCTCAAGGATGAGGGAGTATACCCTGCAGCTGTTGAACACGGCTGCACTACTCAACATATTTTGCATATTTACATACACCAAGTATTTCCACACAGGCTTGTGTTTGTTTAAAATCCCCCACAGAGCTGTCTGGTAAATTTGTCATTGTAGAAAGTTATTTGCTTAGTGAAGTTTACAAAGCTGTTTTCAAAATCACACATACACACATACACGCATGCACATACACACACGTACACACATGCACACGTTTGTGCAAATCAAGAGCGTCACTGTCATTAACCACATTGTAAAGAGATCTGGATTAATCTATTTTTTGTCTCATGCTTAGAAATAAAATGACAGAACCTAAGATCAAAGAAATGGAGAAAAAAAATTAGTTGAAGTTAAATTTTTTTTCAAGTTATAATTCTGTACAAAACAAAATACAAATTAACATCATTCAGTAATCCTTGGTTAGTCCTACACTGTCAAAATTGAATTTTCTTAATTGCTATTATCTTTAATCTTTGACTTTAAATACTTTCACCCAAATTTACTAAGATCTAATTGACAAAACAAAAATTGTATATATTCAGTGTATACAGGATAATTTGACACACACACATTGAACAATAATTACTACAGTCAAATTCATTAACACATCTATCACTAAAAGTGCTTTGTTTTTTGTAAGAAAACCCAGCACTACATAGATTTCTCATGTAACTGATTTCTTTTGGAAACTTAAAACACCACAAAACCACACAAAAACACATAACTCATTTGAAAAAGGCTAGGGAACTTTCAACAGAAGAGATTGGGTATTTTCCTTTTAGCAAGATCCACAAGAAAAGGATAGAGTATCATGCTTAAGAGGGAACAGATTTTGTGTTTTTTGGCAACATACTAAATCCTCTGTTGCTATATTTGGCTCTCTGTAAATAGTGGCTTGTACAAGTGCAAGGCAAGGATCAATGCTGGTGTTCTTCATTCAGCCACAGCCAAACTTGGTATGGAAAGTGGAGCACTTGTGTTTGCCTGTTGATTCCAACAGGCTTGCAGCTCATTTATTGATCAGCAGCATTTCACAGTATGGATTCCTACTTTGCTTTTTAAATCTATCAAACCATGCATGCTTTTCTATAATAGTTTTCCACTGTTTAACTGATAGCAGATGGAATGATTCAATCTGGACAGAAGTGTTACGACTTCACCACATCAATGTGGTTATCTTCCACTATTTAGTCAAATGAGATGCTTGGAGAATTGGCACATCACAGGATGGGCTTAAGCCCCCCCCCCCCCCCCCCCCCCCCCAACAAAAGGCCTAAATGGTTGTTGGTTGTCCTCAGAGAAAACACTTCGGTAAGCAAGAAACTACACTCTCTCTCTAAGACTGTTTTCCACTCCTTTGAGTTCTGGTTGTGACCTCTTGGCTTCTCCAGCTCCACAAAAAGTCCCAAACACTTCATGAGACATTTGAAGAAACAGCAGAAATGTCCTTGATGCCCAACTATCTAAAGGGAAGGCCCATACAAACACCTAAGCAAAGATAATGATCCGTTAATTTCTGATGAAGTCCTAAGTCTTCCCTGACCCTAAACTGACTTTAAGAAAACCACTAAAGGCGATAAATAATTGTGGTAGAAAAAGATGTGTTTACATTCTTTCCCCCAAATTTGAGAACATGTATCTTATACAGAAATAGGGACCTTGCAGATGGGGACTGTGAAATAACAAACACTATTCTGAATTCTACAAGTAGAGCTAATTTGTAGCCACAAAGGGGCCTTACCTATGCAAGAAGGAGGTGGAAGAGAATGGGAGAGTACCACCAGGTGAGGGGGACTGGTTTTGAATAAGGATGAAGGGACCAATGCTGAAGGACTGTGGAAACTGAAATCGGAAAGGACACATATGTTCTCTAGGAGCATGCGAACAAGCTGCAGCCTGTGCTTTGTAGCCACGACAAATCCTGTGCAAGATGCCCAACAGGTGCAGAACTGTAAAATAATCTGTTTGTGTTGTCTTAAGTCATTATATCTGTAGTAAATTTTTAGAGCAGCCATAAATCCCTCTTATATTACCCTAGTCTACGTCGGACTGCAATGGAAGCTGTGCCAAGTTATTTCACCTGCATTGCTGGAGGATATTCTGATTTAAGACTGCTTTCCAAATTCACATTTCCATATTAAAGAACAATTAATAAGAAAAGTATTGTTCTGTCATAATAGAAACTCTTCGAAACATCTTCTCCAGGGCCACTTCTTTCACATCAGTCAATTGTACGAAAGTTCCCTTGTTTGTTGCTGATTTGTCTTTTGATATTGCTTATAGAAAATTCTATGCTGACAAATGTGGAAACAAAATTGTAAGGACATGTTTCCCAAAGGGTCAAACAAATACCTTAGAAGCATCATACTGAAAAACTTCTCAAGACTCCTGCTGTTATGTCATTAATCCATTTCACTTGCTCTTCCATTATAAACATCTGTTTCATAATCCACTCCAAACTGTAACAAATAAATGTCATGGCTCTGGAAATTAACCTCATAGTTTATAAAATCTAAGCTGTGATTTTCAAACGATATCTGCAAGTATTTTAAACACAGAGGAAACAGGTTTAGTTACTAGGAGTGCAGACCCAATCATTAAAGTCACATTAAATTATTTATTGAGCAAATTACAGAAAATGACATCTGTTTTCTCTTACAAAGGTTTCCATGATTTTATATCAGTGACACAGAGAGGAGTCCTGCTTTTGAAGTATAACAATAAAAAATCATATGATTTTACAATAATAAAGTCAAGATTTAAGAAATATACATTATTCATTAGTTAACGATAACAGCATAGTAGAGATTACTCAACTTCCCTTTCTGGAAATGTAAAATCAAGGTGTGGTGATTTCTCGCCGAACTAACAAACCTGGAATCTCACTGTATGTCAATGCTGTAAGATATGAGTCCTATTATTAGTTTCAGTTCACCTTATCGAGTGATAAATATAAAGTTTATCATATTGTGTATCTTTCTCTTTACAAAAGCATTTCACCTTACCTAGCTGTACACAATGAAAACAAAAGGAATCCATGTTTCCCTTTAAATATATGCATTTTTAAAATGAAACAAAGAACTCACATGAAGGTTTCCCTACATCATACATCTTGAAAAATACCTATATGGAATAGTGTTTGTAAATCAGATAGGATGTCCACAAGTATACATCTCCTACACAAAAAATCAAGAGTGTAAAAATCATTACCTTTGGCTCTAGCCACAGCACAGAACAAAACAAAACAAAACAAAACAAAATCTACCTCTATTAGTATAAAGAGAAAAGTTCACATCTTAGGCAAAAAGGAAGAAAACCTCATTAAGAATTTTATATTCTAAAGGAACTAATCTTAGGCTAAAATTTAGTAGTCAGAAATTATTCAAAAAGAAACTTGTTGGGGCTGGTGTGGCCCTTTCTAGAAGAGCAGGTGTCCCTATTGACTTACACAGCACAAGAGAATTGGTAAATTACGTTTAAACCTATTAGAATTCCTTGTGGTTTAAAAGGCAGATGTAGAAAATGTCATTGGATCAAATATAAACTGGTCAAAACTTCAAGAATATTTCCTTGACTAATCATTTCACATCACAAAATGTTTCAAGCAAATAAAAGCTCATAACAGAAATTTAAAAGTTAATACATTTAACTATAATGACTAATTTTATAGTTTAAAAATTCCCAGAAAGCATTAAGTGTAAAAATGCTATGCAATATTCTACAAGTCTGACCTGTGACCTACTGCCATGACCACGTGACCATGGCAATTAGCATTGTGAAGCTCTCGAAACTGAGTTTGCCTGGCTGGCTCAATTCATCCCTCAAACACCAAAGCCATCCTTCTTTTATAGTTTATATATGAGTTTCAGCTAGTTTGTGACACAAGTGTTAGCCTATTCTTTCTGAAATCATTTTCATCAAAGTTTTCACGTTGAAATGGTAGATTTAAAGGATTCCTCAAACTGGAGATTTTTTTTTAAAGAGATTTGGTTTTCACTTGTCCCTCTTGCCTTAATATTATCTGGAAGATGTCCATTATGCACTCTGCAGGAGAGGGTTAAAAAAAAAAAGACACCAAACAAGCTTAGTCCTCGGTGTCTCTTGCACATTAAAATCCCAGGCTGACTTCAGTTTTGGTTCCACGCAGCTTCTGCTGTCCTGCCACAGCTGGGAAGGAGATCCATCACAGGAATCCCGCCTGCCATCAATACCCCTTTGTAACTGCAGCGATTGAGCGAACTCTTTCCATCTTCAATAACCAACACAGTGTCAACATCTGCTTCCAATAAAGTTGTGTTTTGTTTTTTTTTTTCCTCAAATAGAGTAAATCCGCTGACTGAGACCGTAAAGGGGGTGCTTCCCCCTCCCTTTCCATGCAAGCGATTTTTTTTCCACCATATTGTGCAACTTTTTCTCCCAGGCAAGTCAAAACAAGGGGGGAGAGGTAAATGAAAAGGAACATTCTTAGTCCGGTGCCACGGAAACACAATGTATATCTGTCAAATACAAAGTTAGGTGGCTTGACGACACTGTCCTCCTAACTTCGGAGACAGCAACGTATAGAGTTGTGAATGAATATGACTCAGACTCAACCTACATACCACTAAGTGTTGAATTAACTTTCCTTCAGAAACACCATATTAAAAACTCAGAGTCAATTAAGAAGTTAACACTTTTTTTCCCCCGTAAGATGAGAGAGATGCATTCTCTTTGCAATGACTCCTTACAGAAAAGCAGTCACTGGTTTATTTGGCTGCTGAAGAATGACTATGCAACATGAAGTATGAGTTCAATTTAATCAGCAACTTGTTGAACTGATGGTCATTTGTGGAGGCTGTCAGTTATTTGAACATCTATACTGTAAGTCAGGTACATCTGTATGTTTTCAAACTTTCACAGACTTTCTTATTAGGTAGGATTACCCCATTTTTATCATGAGGTAAATAAGTGAAGTTCCAAATCACCCAATAAACCATGGCTAAGTCAGAATTCAATGAAGAACCAAGCTTACACGAACCCTCCTGCTCCCTTACTCTCCTATCAGTCAAAACAATAACATGTGTCCCTGCCTTGTCCATCACTTACTGTCACTCCCACTGGCTAGTTCAGCAAACACTAGTTCACACGGGCTTCTTTTCATAAGGGACAGAATGCAATTTATAAAAATGTAATCTCTGTCACTTGAAATTACAGCTACCACTGTCAGTCATACAGTGAGCCTAAAGCTACTTCCTTTCCCATATTCTGCAAGCTTAGAAATGGACAAACACTATTTGTAAAATAAATGACAAGCTCATATAGGCATCCTCTAGAACATTCTTTTAATCCTCCAAAATCAAGAAATGTATTCTTCAATAGTTTGGGGGCAATATAACTATTTTGGGGAGTTAGGATAATGCAAATCTTAAAAAGAAGTGGCTAAGAGAAAAATTTGAAAAATTAGCTAACTTTCTTGATTTATGAAAATGTTTAGACTCTAAACGTTAGAGGCTCTTTACAAATTCACAAGGAAAGATCAAATATCCTGTGTTTCTTACTTTAGATAGTCCATTGGTGGAATAATAGATTACATATAGAATTATAGTTTTCCAGTGTCAAGTTTATAGGTTTTCAGACAGACTGAAAGAAACTAACATTGTAAAACAGGCAAAGGAAGAGTGGATCTAATGAAGTGAGTGTGGCAGGTGGTGGATCTAATGAGTGAGTGAGGCAGGTGGTGGATCTACTGAAGTGAGTGAGGCAGGTGGTGGATCAAATGAAGTGAGTGAAGCAGGTGGTACCCACCCTACAATACAGCAGTCATACTCTGAAGTGAGAAATCCAGATCCAGAGTGTAATAGCACTTTACATGCACATGAATTCAGATTATTTATTATGCTATGTTTTAGCTCCCTTTATTATTTCTGCTTGTTACAGTAATGTCAAAACATTGAGTGATGCTTGGACAATAGACAGGTTCCCTCTCCTTTTACTAGATTTTGATATATTCCTTTGATGACAGTGTACCATTGATATCCATGCTTATTCTCTAAGGAAGAGTATATGTCTTTGTTGCATGCAATAGAAGTCAGATTTTTCGTTTTCCTTAGGACTCATGCCAAATGTTTTGCCTGTCATTATGAGGAGATAAGAGCAAAACCACTAAATTATCTGTTTTCTCTTTCAGTCCAATTTGATGGCAAAGAAAGAAGCAGAGAGTTGGCTCTCTCAGCCTCATCTCAACTTGCAATAGCCAACGGAAGAAGCTCTTTGAGTTCTCACTGTGGCACTGTTCTAAGGGACTGCACTGTAAGTCAGTGTGTTCCGAGGCAAGACCAGATAACAGCCAGTGGGTCTCCTCCCTGGGAGTCGCTGAGAGCTTGGTTCTCAAAACTTAGGAGGACTCAAGCCAAAATGAATTTGACAGATTCATTCAACTCTATGGTCCACATATTTGTGCAGATAACAAATAAAGCAATTTTTGTTATCAAAGTCCAGATAAAAATGCACAGAATTTAATGAGGCCACTGTCTGGACATTTAAGTTTATATACCAGTGAGTGGAAGGTGCCATAAGTCTAGACTGTATTGGGAAAAATATGAAGACTGTGTTAAGGAAAATCAAGATGAAGAAATGATGGAGTCTATGGAGACAAGCAAGGACATGGGTTTATAATGCAAATGCAGCTGGAGGAGAAACTAATGTCCCTGATACAGCCAAGGAAAATGTTAGGAAACGAGCTGTGAGAATTCTGCTGAACCGCTTGTTTGGTCGTTAATGTGTAAAGTATTCACACCCATGATGTACACAATTAAAACCAGAAAGTAGCACGTTTCTCAACATTCTGTTTTGTGTGGGTTGAGAGAGATGGGAAAATTTGAGAAACATTATCAAATGATAGCATCTGCACTACAATCACCTCCAATGTCACTGATGGCTGGGAGCAAATGAAAGGAACAACAGACTGTGTCCTTGATTTGGTAGTCAGCACTACCTTCATAATCCCAACCTTGACCTAATCTCTTAAGGTTAATCCCAACTTCACTTTCTCTTTATCTGTGTGCCATGCGAGGCTCACTTCTCAAGCTTTCCATTTCTAATCCAGTTTCTGTAATTGAAGTATAAACTTAAATCTATTGCCACTTTTACTTTTCTGTAATTTTTGAGAAACTAATTACACTTAAAAGAAAATTAAAATATTGCCAAATCCTCCATTTATACCATTACATACAGAATACATGACTTGTCAGGTCACAATGGTGAGGGACAGTCAGCGCTTTGTCACGTGTCTACGTCCTCTCCTAATACTGGTCATTTGAATTCATTCCAGGAAATGAATTCATTCCAAGTATGACTTCCCAAAATTGCCACGAATGAGTGGTTAGAAATTAGAAAAATCAGTTACTGGTATCCACAGGTATCATGGCTGAATGCGTTGTCTTTCCTGTGTTGAGCTATGCATAAGCTCTATTCTTAATTATTAAGATGGGAGGGACTGTAAAGTTTGGGCTCATTAACCTAAACTTTCTTGTTAGCCAACCTCCTAGAACTCTTTGGGAGACATCAAAGTAATAAAATACCCTATCATTTGTGGCCCTTCCAAAGAAAGTGCCTTTTCAAGCTGCACATATGTGTCTGCAAACTAAGGGAGATAGCATGGATTTAAATCTTCACTGAGATTCAATATAAATGCAACGCTGCACTGGTTTGTCTATGGCAGTGCCCCTGTTACAGGCTGAAACCCTTGAGGTACCCTCGGAAGCACAGACCCAGCGCATCACCGACACTTTGAAGATCTGTGCTTCAACACGTTTTGGCCAGTGCTTTTCTGAGAGCAAGTTCTTTAAACAGAACTCAACAACTGTTACAATATTAAAAAAAAAAAAAAAAATTACATCCCTCCAAAATATCCCCTCCATGCTCAACCAAAGTTTCTGTATTTCTACAAAAATAGATGAAGAGAGAGCTACAAAATGGTTTTCCTGAAAGAATGAGCATTTTCTTTTGGTGGCTCATCTTTTGACAAGGCGGCTGGTTCCAAAGTAAAAAAGAAGAAACAAACAAAAACTACCCAACGTACTGGTAAAAGGCGAGTGAAATGAGACGCCGCACAGCTGACAAAGGCTCAGATGAGGGAGAACAGACAAAATGCTTCTCCTCAATGACTGGGACCCACTCTGTTTTCTCCAGAAAAGGTTCAAATCGAAAGACAATGGCCTCATATGTCCCCTTCTCCATCCATGTTTCCTGTGTCCCATTGCTGGATAGGAAATCCCCATGGCATCTTTTCCCAGTGGGACCTGGGACTCAGGCTGCAATATGGTCTGCTAATAGCATGCTTCAGTACCAAGCTGATTCTTTGCTCTTGTCCTGATGCTGAAGACCTAAAAAGGATGAGAATGGAAAATGATGAAGAACAAGCATACACATGTAGCAGTCATAAATGCTCATGACCTGCACTACACTGAGTACAGAAAGTAAAACCCTGGCAATCCTGAGAAATGACCAAAGGATAACCTGGTCTCTAAAATGACGCAGGAGCACAGAATGTGAAAAGAATGCTGCACTAGAATAATGCTGTTAATACAGTAGAAATTCTTTGCTATGTTTATTTTTTATTTTCTTGGATTAGGAGTGCATTAAAATTGGAAATGGTACCTTAACTTTAAGAGGAGATGATAGTGTAAAAGAAAACAGACATAAACAACTTGAATATTTGAACAATGCTTCAGTTAAAACTTCCAGCAATTAGACTTGTGGACTAATATATTCAGTTGTTTTAAAATGTATTTCATTCAGAGGAGCATCATTAAAATCACAGCAAGTGGTTAAATATGATTAAATACGGAGTTTAGTACTATTGATAAGCTAGTAGGCCATATTGTGACTAGTACAGACCGCTATTATATTTATTAATTTACTTCTTTTAACATCTTTCTCATCATGAATTCAAAGTGGGCTCAGGAGAGCCTGAGGGGCATTGCAATCAAATGAGATTAAATGAAGTATAAAACAGATGTGTAAACACATCTAACGTACAACTGACAGGTAAAATAGAAAGTTGATTTAAGAGGGTACATAGAAAATGTGATTCTGACTTGGTTCTACTACAGTCATTTAACTCATTTCTGATACAGGCAATTTGCAGAGGAATTGCCCCTCAAACCCACCTGAAGTCAAGTTTCAGTTTTTGTAGATACTCCTTGCTTTTTTTTTTTTTGAGATGTTACTGATAAACACACACATAGATATTGAATGCACATATTTAAATATTTTCATGTACATATATATATTGAAACAGTTACCACAGTCAGTTATCATGTCTACCACAGCTTTCAGTTTCCTTTACTTTTATATCAGAGGCATATAATTTGGAAGGGTGAACACTCTAGATGAATTCTTCAGTCATTCAGAACCAAGTATCAAAATGTAAATGAGGCCTTCAAATGTGGGTAGGAAGATATGACAATTGTTATGTGGGTGCCAGGATATTAGGCTATTTTCCTGACCCTTTATTTAAAAGTGATATCAGTCTTTGTTGAATATTAGAAATCTAAAAATACGAAAAAAAATGATAGTTTTACATTTTGATTGTTACTATAACAGTATTTCTTGTCCTTCCAAATATCAAGGGATTTTTATCAAATAATGATATCATTACAAACACTGTCATTGGATGCAGATATTAAGACAACAGCATAATATGACAGAGAATAAATAAAAGGAACACAGGAAGCACATCAGAATTGCAAGGACTAGTCTACCCAGAAGAAAGCACTAGAGTATGGACTAAAGGCAACAGGGGTTTCAAAAGAATGGTCTATTATTTTCTAAGATTACTGGCATTTCACCTAGGGCGGAATTTCTACTCCAGTTTCAAAAAGAGGGGAAGAGGAGGATAAAAAAGAAGGTGAGGGGGAAGGAAGAAAAATAAAGGATCAGGAATGTATCAGGACACTCGTTTGCTTTACTCATTTTCAAATAACTGTGGGTAGAATAATTTGCAACCTGACATAGTCTCTGTGGGGTGACTTGTATAATCTAAGCCACCTTTACTGACAATTTGCTGACTACATGAATATTTTTTTCATTATTAGTACTTCTCATCTTCAAGATGACACAGTATTTCCAGCTGAAGACTGCATCAATCTATAGAATGTCAGCACTGCAAGTCATGAATACCATTGTAATCATCAAATGGTTTGACTTTTTCCTTTTAAAATCAAGGCAATTCCTAGTTTGATGTGCAAAGATATATGACTCCTTCAGATCATGTGAGCATTTTGTCATAGCTAAGTATGGAATTACTTAAGATGGACCCCAAATTTTCAGCCAGAATAGCAGAAACCATTCTCTTATTATAAATGCATCTCTTCCATGTTTGATTCCATGTCTCTATGTCACTCCAGAGTATATAGTTTAAAAAAACCAGTTCATCTGCCAATTCATCTATAACCTCACAGGCATTAAACAGCTATTGGATCCTGATGGTTTAGCTTCTTCTTAGTGGAAAGACATAAATAAAATCTTTGCTTTAATTTCCAGGCATCATTTTCTGTAAATTTCAAAATAAATATAATTTTAAAAAGAACAGTGAGAAAAGACCTTACTAATACATTGTTTGCCTCATAAATGCAGGACTGCCATTTTTCTAGTAAAGACAATTGCAGGTGGTGATTCAGGATGCTTAAGAACCAGTCACTTAGTTTTTACCCAACAAAATGAAGGGAGACCAAATTGTTAATTATGATCCTTATGTGGTCTACATATGTACCACCATTTTCCAAAATTTTTTGCGAGCTACAATCTTTGCTCGTATTTGGACTCTCTTTGCTTGTCCAGTTCTAATCAAATCTATAGGAAATTAGGTCCTAAAACATTCCGAAACTTCCACTGGCTGTCAGAAATCCCCAGGTTTACTTTCCATTTTGGTTTCATTCTTCAGTCCATATTTTTGTAGAAAGGAAGATGAAAAGCATGAGGACAAGGCTAGCTAACATTCTTAGGATTTGGATATGCCAAGCTCTGTGCTAGGCATTTTACATGAAATGACTCAGTCATGCTTTGACATGCATCTTACTCAACAAGAGTGTAGAAATCAGGGGAAGCGATGGCAGAGGTAGGTTAGTAAAGAAGCATTCTGATGTCAGAGACGATAGTCTTAATGACAGCATATATGTGCACCTTATGTGAACGGTGCTGATTGTAAGTATTGGCAGTATGACAGTACCCACACACAACCTAACTTCTAAGTAAATAGTGTCTCACAAAATAAGAACACAAAATGCTAAGCAATTTTTATAATCCCCTTTCAACTCTTTAAATATATATATATATATATATATATATATATATATATATATATATATATCCCAATTTTTCTGAACTGATATCAAGACTAAGATGAATCTCTTTTTAACAACTACATTAACTTGACATTTGTTTCTCAAACATAATAAAGAATTACATTATAATCGGTTTTGCTTTAGACCATTACATTGGTACAATAGGCTATGTCACATCAACTAATGGACTCTTCTGTGTTTATTTGTAATGTAATTGCTCCAGACCTATCCACTTCCCTAGTGTGAACTTTTTCAAAATAGAGAACATTTGATTCATGGCCTTTTGCTTGTTTATTATAAATCACAAGTAAACAAGGAAACAAAGATATCACATTATTGACTTCAGAGACTGAATGGGAGATGTGCTTAGGAAAAGAGCCTGAAAGAAACTAAAAGCTCAGAAACACATTTCCTCATTTCAGTTCCAACACCAACACCACCTGATCACCACAGAAGAGTGATCGTACTCAAGCAAACAAACTTGGAGTAATTAGGACGGGAGAAAAAAATGGTCATGGTAGAGGATCAGAGTTTGCTTTCATTTCAATGTCTGTGAGTCTGGAAGTCTGTCTGTTCAGGGTCTTGAAACAAATGCTGCAAACCGGGAAGCTGATTGACAGTAGAGTTTGCTCCAACAACATTCTAGAGGCTCAGATCTAAGATCAAGACACCAGAAGACTCTCTCTGTGTTGGATGAAAGCTTGCTTCCTGGTTCATAGTGGTTCCTTTTCACTGTATCCTAAAGGGGAAGTGTGTGTGTGTGTGTGTGTGTGTGTGTGTGTGTGTGTGTGTGTGTGTGTGTGTGTGTGTGTGTGTGTGTATGTGTGTGTTTTCAAGCATTTCAGAAGAGAATGGATCCCATTCCTGAGGACTCAGCCCCTGTCACTTATTTCACCCTCCAAAGTCCCCACTTAATATCAACAACATAGAAGTCAGGATTTCAACACAAACTTTGGAGAGGACACCAACATCCACATCACAGCAATGACTGAATCTTACAAGGATGTTACTGGGACCAACTTCTCCACCCCTGGGGGAAAAAGTCATACTCTAAATTTCAAGAGGCAACAGTTTCACAGGTTGGTGTCTGGCAAAGGCTATGGACATAAGAATCAGAATAGCAACTATATGTATGTAAACATGAGAAATCTAAAGTCTTCACCCTCCCTAACTTCTTTCAACTCCAAAGAATTTTGTGGAAATATACTGAAGCTCCCAAAAACTCCCATGGAGGACACAGGAATTGGCTCAGAGAGGATTCTGTTAAGTCTATAGGAACGTCTGCACCCTACAGTGGAAGAGGTGGCATGGGCAACTCTGGATGAGCATCTTGGAGGGATCACAAATGCAAAGATGAGTTTGCTGCCAAGTTTAATAAGCAGTAGAGAATGCATAAAGGAAAGGGTGGAGGAGGGAAAGATTTGAAATCAGGGGCAGAACAGGAATGAAATGGCAACACCAAAAGGCAGATTGCAAACTACTTATTAGGTGTTTGCATAACTGCCTAGAACTAAGAGCTAAATCCCATAAAGAGGATGAAAGAATAACTTGAAAAGTTTCAACTATAAATGGGCTTTTTGTTTCAAAGTGGGAGCAATGGCAAATCACTAGATTAATTAAAGAATAGCTAGACTATCCAGCATGGAGGTTGGAGGTGGGCACAAAGTTCCACCCCTAGCTGAGGAGCTACTGGCGATTGATAGCTGCCTGAAGAGCTAGCTTTCTTTAATGGTGTGTCCCTTGGTAGGTCTAACACACTCCAGAGGATGCCCATACACCTCAGAGTGTAAAGGTAAAATAGGACTTGATAGGATTTTTTAAAATGAGAACACAAAGTTGGGTGGGTACTAAATGAGGTATGGACCTTGAAGGAGTTGGATGTGGGAAATGAATATGATCAAAATACAATGTATAAAAGTATCAAAGAATTAACAAAATGTTTAAAAGGAGAGCTGAAGAAAAGAAGGTATCATTTTTCTACTATTAGGAAGATGTCATAAATAATAAACTGAAGTGAACATTCTATACTGCTGCAGAGC